TGTGCAATTTTGGACAAGCTTCTTAACTAGCAGGATTCTTGGTCTTGTTCCCCATTAAATGAGGGTGACTTGACTTTTTTTTTTTTTTTTTTTTTTTGCAAGACTATTAAGTTTTGGAGATCAGGAGATCATCGCACCTAGTGTGGTGCTTGGCATACAAAGCATAGTTGGTAAATACTTGTTGAATGAATGAGTCCCATTTTGGAAAGCTGCGGATAAGAAAAGGCTTTGTTTTATTCCAGCTACAATAAATAAGCCTCTGCTTCTGTCATGTAGCCAGGAACATTTCAGAGGTGGGAGTAAAGTTGCGTCTCCTTTCCTAAGATGAAGCAATGACAAAGATAAGAGTGGAAACCCCATCCGTGCACAGTCTGTACAAATAAGATTGTTGATTCTCCTGCCTGGCTCCGTGATGACCCCTGCAACGTGCCACCGTGCCGGCCTTCTCCAGGCATGGCAGACTTGTGGTGATCCTGGGGATGCAGTGGGGTGTGGAGGTGGTGCATTTACATTGTCAAGGCTGTGGCTAGACAGTCTGTCAGCAGGTGATGAGAGGGAATGTCACAGCCCGTATCCTCTGATGTCTTATGGACTGAAACTCATTGGATGAGATTGCTGGAATACACGCAGGCAGCGAGGAAGCCAGACTTCCTGTTCTGGGTTTTCTTAGGGCTCTACTGGTCTTCTTATGGAATAGAATGAGCTCTGCTCACCTGTTTACAGGAAGGGGCTGAAAGTCCCAATCTAATCTTTGCCTTTTTGTTTCTAGTGTAGCTGAGGGGTGGTTCTTAGGGCACTGATTCCCAGAGATGTTGCCTTCTTCATTGCATCATGGCCAGTGGAGTTCCAGGTAAAGAAGGTACCTGGCATCTCTAGAGGGCACCTTCTGGTCTGGCCCTTGGACCCCTGCCCAGCCAGGTACCTTTCCACTCACCACACTGTGGTGGAAGTGGAGGTTACCTGTCTCTCCCCTGCTGGGGTTGAGATTTATCTCTGAGCTTCTTAGGAGCAAAATCTTATCCTGGAGTCCAGCACGTAGGTCCTGCAGTTAGTGCCGAGCAGTGTTGGGTACTGTGTGACAGAGCCTGTCCTTCATGAGTGAGTGAAACAGATGGGATCTCTGTGGCAAACCTCTGAGCAGGTCAGAAAGAAGGCCCTGTGCAAACACAAGGTAATAGTGTTGACAGTGCTGTTACTAATTATTCCCCAGTGTTGAACTCATGTGGCTAAAGGATCCTCCAGGAGCTTGGCTTCAGCATTTAGCCTTTTCATGTTTGAATAACATGCTGTAAGCCTGTAGGAAGGGGTTAAAAGAGGAGGTTAGCAACCGCAGCAACCTTTCTTTCATAAGTAGCATCTTCTGAAAAGTCTTGGCTGTGGCACCCTCTGTTACTCTTTAAGACTTTTCTGTGCTAGCTGTGACCTGCTTGCTTTTCTGGTTGTGTAGAGTATGCCCCATCTAAGTATGCCCTGTGCCCATATGATTACATTAGTAGTAGTAGTAGTACTATTTTTTGTGATTACTTTATTATTTTGTTTTTGTGGTATTAGAGATTGAACCCAGGGCCTTGCACTGAGTTAAGTCTGTAGCCTTTTTTATTTTGGACCAGGGACTCACTAAGTTGCCTAGGATGGGCTTGGACTTGTGGTCCTCCTATCTCAGAATGAGGGGGTTACTAGTGTGCACCACCACCACACCTGGCTACTACAACTTCATTAATGCTGAGTGAATCAAAAGGATAAAACCAGTAGGTAAAGTTGGACTGGAGTTCTCCCTAGGCTTTATTCCTCCTCCCTCCTGTCTGCTGATGGACATAGTGAGAGTGATCGACTGCATTGGAGTTAGCAGACCTGTGATGATGTGAATGAGGCAGGGGTCTGGATTGTACAGGCTTCTGGCCATGAGACAAATGGGACCTCATGTTAGCTACTATACTGGGCCACTTCTCTGCTGATGACATTTAAAATCTAAAAGACAGGGCCTGGGAGATAGCTCAGTGGAATAAGTGCTTGCAGGTCCTCAGTTCAATCCGTGGTGCCATGAAATAAATAAACAAATAAATAAAATAAAATCTAAAAGACAAGGTCCCCTCTTTGTGCTCACTGTGACTTTGGGGCAGGGAACTTGGCACCCCCCCAGAAGAGCCTTAGTACTTTGCTGAGGTCATCAGGAGGATGGGATTTGGTGATATCACTGTGGGGACTGAGCACTGGCTTCTGCACTGTCCCATTCAGCCTAGTGTGGGGCTCAGCCTCAAGCTCTGAGGGTTTTGCAGTGAGGACAGCATCGGCCTTGCTTCCTGTGGCTTCCCAAGGTTCACTCTGAAATTGGAGGCAGGGAGCTGGGCTCTGTCCCAGCTCTGCTGTGGTCTTGGGCAGGTCACCTCTTCTCTCTGAAGCTCAAGGTAGGAAATCCTCCCCTGTTCTTCATCTGGCTAGACTGGAAGTGTTGGAGGAAACACAGAAGAGAAAGTGCTTCTGGATGGGGAAGCTCAGTGTAGGTGGAGAGTGTCTGTCTAGGAACTTGTGGTTTTCATTTCTCATGTAAAAATATCAACCAGCGAGGTGTCATGGTACATGCCTGTAATCCCAGCATTTGGGAGGCTGAGACAGAAAGATTGCCACAGGTCCAGGCCAACCTGCACTACATAGTGAGTTTAAGGTCAGCCTGAACTACATAGCAAGATCCTGTTTTAAAAAAACAAAACAGGGCTAGGGAGATAGCTCAGTGGAATAAACGCTTGTCTGGCAAGTGCAGGGTCCTGAGTTCAATCCCTGGTACCACAAAAAAACCAAAACAACAACAACAACAAAAAAAAAAACCCAAAACCAACCAACTGCCCAAAAATCAACCACATGGAAAAATAAGCAAAATGAAAGACGCTTGTATCTCTCTGCTGTTGTCTAACCCCACCAGTCCCATTTATTGTATATCGTATATCATTTATTGCATGTATTTCAACATTCTTCAAGATTTACATTCAAAAACAATACCCAGGGACCGAGGAGATGGCTCAGTAGAATAAGTGCTTCCCTGGCAAGCGCAAGAGTCTGAGTTCAATCTCTGGTTCTGAAAAAAAAAAAAAACAAAAAAACCAAAAAACCACCGAGTAATGATGCATGTGTTCTTCTACTTCGACTGTTCTCGTAGCTACTTAATCAGGAGTGGGGAGGCCCTGTAGAGCCTTTGGGGCAGCCCTTCCCCTAGTCTAGCGTAGGGAATATAGGGGATTCTAAAGGGTGGCCTTTCTTTTTGGTTTTGAGATAGTCTTGCTATGTAGTCCAGGATGATCTTGAGCTCACTGTGTTCCCAATCTGGCCTTGAGCTTGAGGCAGTCCTCTTACGTCAGCCTCCTGGGTGTTGGGATCACAGGCATGCGCCACTATGCCCAGCAGGCGTGGTCTTTCTGGGAGGCCAGGAGAAGCTGTCCTGAAGTTCTCACCCATCAGGACTGTACTGGCTCTGTCTGAGGGACTGTGTAGCTCTCAGACGTGTTTGCCTGGCAGCAGCATCAGCGTGCAGACACCAGGCTGTGTGAGCAGTGTGGTGTCCGTACCTGTATTTCACGTGTGTCTTTTCCCTTGTCCATTCATCTTTGACTGGGAAGAGGAAAAGCTGATCAGGTTTCTTAGCTATCTTAGTGCTGCAAGAGTCCCAGATTTCTGAAGCCTCGAATTTTGCCAGTATGTTCGCTGCTACACCTTTGAAAGCAAACCAGGCTTGGCTAGTGTTTGGAGTTTTCTTACGTCTGAGGGCTCTGAAGGGCTTCTGTCCGCAGCCCAGCTTTGAGTCATCCCACAGGACTACCTGGAACAAGGCGAGCACCCCTTTCCCTGTGTCTGTGGTGCCTGTGCTGTGCTTCCCTGCTCTGCTGCCCTGGGGAGCATTTGTGGCTGCATTCTCCTGCGTCTGGGCTAGGGTTCTTTTCTCCCAGATGTTCCTGGAGGCCTAAGAGAGTCAGTGCCACCTCCTGAGCAGCTCAGATGACAGTGCAGCTGTTGCAGGCACTGCTCCTCTGGATCCTGGGCAGCCTGGTGTGGGCTTCATCCTCGCTCTGCGGGTTCCTCTGCTGCTTCCTGGGAAGCACCATCCCCCAGCCCTTTCAGAAACTGTAGGTGGCAGTGTGCCACCTGTCCCTCTGCTGGCCCAGTACCCCGCCGGGGTACACTGGCCCATTGTACTGTGCTCTCCAAGGCAGCTCCTGTCACAGCCTCTGTCCCCCAGCTGCTTCTCCCCTAGCTCCTGCCCTCTGAGCTATGGGGTGGGGGGGGAGTGGGCTGTGTGGTGCTGGCACAGGCACAGGATGGGTGGCAGCTGCAGCTGGGGGGGGGGGCTTTGTTCTTGCAGCCCAGCATACAGGGCCCTGGTGCAGCCTGGCAGTGGCACCTGAGGACAGGAAGATGGGGGCTGTAGCCTTTTCTACAGCAGCTGCCCCTTTTTGCCTGGCCACCCTGGAGCTGGGTTGCCTGCCCAGCGAAGTGGGATCCTGAGGCGCTGTCTCTGCACCCTGGGAGAGCACACTGTGGGCCTGTGCTATCCACAGCTTAGTCTCACTCTGCTGTCCTGCAGCTCCAGAGTTGGGCTGCTCCCAAACCAAGCGGCTTGTCTGGCATGCGTGGCAGCAATTGCCCTGAGTCTGTCGCTAATTATGGCTAACCAGGCGTGCTGGTTGGTCGGAGAGAAGTTGCTAGCCCTGTGAGTGACCTCAGTGAGCCGCCCTGCGCCGGCTGCCAGCAGTGTGGCTCCTCTTTTCTCCTGCATGGCTGCCTCTCACTCTTATCCTGTTGCTCTCTCCATCCTTACTGTTAGATTCCCTCCATCTTCCCACTACCTCTGCTGGGCTGGGGATGTGCCTCACTGGTGACCAGAAGAGAGTGGTGTCCTACAGCGTGGCACCTACTGCCAGGCCCTGCTATCCTCCCCACCCATGCTCATGTCAGTTTTCCCAAGAAACAGAGTGAAGTAGAGTTTCTGTTCTTTCTGGCTTCGTTATGGGGAGTGTGAGACCCTTCCTCAGCTACTGGTCCCTGAGATATTGCTGCCACTCCTGCCTTGGGAACAGATGAGTGGGGTTGGAAGGGACTTCACTTTGTCACTTTGCCAGAAGAGGAGGTAGGATGCTGTCCCACTGCACTGCTCACCCAGGAGAGAAGTTGGAATTGTATGCCATGTTCTCAGGTGGAGGGCTGAGGTGAACCTTGGCTGGGCTCTGTGGGCAACCTGGGGCAGAAGAGAGAAGCTTTTAAATGGAGAGCTGGAGCACAGCACAAGGTGGCTGGCTGAGATGTAGTTCTGGAGGTGGAGTAGAAAGGGTTGGGCTCCTAGTGCTTCCACGTTGGGAGCCTCAGGTGGACTTTGGCCAAGAGGAGCTGGAAGGACACCACAGCCAGTGAGGGCCAGGGCCTGCCTTGGACTCTGTACTGGCCAGAAAGTCAGGACCTCCTTGGAGCCTGGGGAGAGAAGCCGTGCGGAGACGCTATACCAAGGCCTTCTGTCATCTGGGCCAGGAGGCGGGGAGAGCAGGAGACAGTGGCTTGGTGTCTGTCTTTGAGCAGGTCTGTTCTGTGGATGGAATCTGTTTCCTGACAGTGGGTGGTGCTGGGCTGGACCAGGAGACTTTGAGACTCACAGACCTTTCCAGTGGGTTTTGGCCCTGTGGATGGAGAGGGAGAAGGCAGGGGCCTGACTGGTGGTGTGTGGCAGGTGGGTGTGAATGTGAGAGGGGCCATTCAGGACCCTGGAAAGGGAGGGAGCAGTCTGGAAGGGATTTTTTTTTTTTTTTTTCTCTGACCAGGAAAGCAGGAGCTGGGAGTAGAGATCTGGGCACAGGGTCGGGTGCCAGGCACTGGCTCTGAGGGCAGAAGCTTTGGCCTTTTTATTGGGGAGGGTCTGGTGTGCTGGGGGCATCTTGGTTCTCTCAGCCCCTTTGTTCTGCTCTGTGTTTGGCTGTAAGGCCAGGTGGGCGGACTGGAGGTGTTTGCTCACAGGTGGGAGCCAAGTGAGCTCTGTCAGTCACCAGCGCCAGCACTGTGCTTTGTCCTCACCATTGCTCTGGGGCAGGATGGTTCCAACCCTCTGTGGCTTTCAAAACCCTGTCAGTCTGTTCAGGTTAGAGTGGGCAGGGGGCCAGGCCAGGGCTGCAGGCTGCGCACCCCAAGAAGGTGAGGTTGCCTGTAGGGGAGTGGCAGGCAGAGTTGTTGGAAGGGCAACAGGGCTGGTCTGGGCACAGACTGGCATCTTCCAGCCTAGTCATCCGCCCAGAACAGACCTCAGCCCAAGCCCCACCCGGGAACTGTTGGCTGCCTGCCTGCCACGCGCCCAGGATTGCTGAGGGCTTTGCTCATGCGTCTTGGGAGCTGTGTCGGGTAGCGGTGCACCGGAAATGGGGGAGGGGTGGTAGGCAGAAGAGGTTCCTAGGGGAGTAAGTAAGGCTGAGCCCCCTTGGTAGTAGGAGCAGAGGGTGGACAGGGCTGTGATACTATGCTGTGGGATAGTGGGGATCTTCATGGGGAGTCCCCAGGGCTACTGCCAGGCCCTCTGGTCAGAAGGCTGGCCCTTCTTAGTTAGCTTTAGTTGGAGGCAGAGCCTGGATTTCAGAAACTTGGGGAGTAGCCAGTTCTCGCGGTATGGGTGTAGCTTACCCTAACCTGCCCATCTTTCCCAGGTCACAGAGTTCAGACACTGCGTCCGGCAGTTATGCTCAGAAGCATGCTGCGTCCTGTGTGACCACACTGGTTGTGTTCTAGTGGCTGCTGAGGGGCTGTTGGAAGGGCTGGCATTTATCTTAATTGTTTCTTTGTATCCTGGCTCCCAAGGTAATTGAGGCTGTGCTTTGTATAGCAAGTGTGTTCTGAATCAGGACCAGTTTTCCTTTCCTTTTATTTTATTTTTTATCTTTATGTTTTTGGCACAGGGTCTCACTACTCAGAGGGAATCATAGTGATCCTCCTGTTTTTAGCCTCCCCAGCACTGGCATTACGGGTGTGCACCACCATGTGTCTTGGTGTCTGGCTCAGTGCACCTGCCCAAGGGCAGGGCTGGCATGGCATGTGGTGCTGGGGATTGAACCCTGGTCCTTGGGCTTGCCTAGTCAGGTGTATAGTCCACTGAGCTATCTCGCCGGCCGTCTCCTTTCATTTTAGAAGCAGTAGTGGTTATTAACTTCCGTTGGACTTTCTTTGAGAGTTAGTTACTTTCATGGTGATATGTGGGTTCTCTCTGAGTCAGACACTGGGTTCATTCCCCTTGAGGTCCCTCACTTGCTTATTAACATCTATGAGCAGAAAGGCTTATCAGCAGGTTTGTAAATAATCTGCACCCAAATAAACAGAGGGGACATGGTTTATTTTCTTACTTTTATTCTCTGCAGTTCTGGGGTTTGAACCCAGGGCCTTTATACTGAGAGACATCCTGAAGCTTTGAAATTGTAAGACAGGGCCTCATTAAGTTGCCCAGGCTAGGCTTGAGCTTGCCATCTTCCTGCCTTCATCTTCAGAGTTAGGATTCCAGATGTGTGCCATTATATCCGGCTGCCGTGTTTTCGTAGAAGGAGTGTTGGTGATGGGCAGAACGTGGCAAGAGACTGGTGGACTCAAGTCCTGACTCCCTGTCATGGGCGGTGCTAGGGGGTGACTGGCCTCTGAGAACTCCCAGGCAGAAGGCTGAGGGCATGGCCTTCCCTTTCCTGGGCCTTGGGCAGACCTTGGGAGACAGCAGGAAGCGGGAGGCCACCTGGGCCTCTGGGTCTCCAGGCCTTGGACTTTTTGTTGTTGCTTCCTGCAGGTGTAGAAAGTGGCTTGGAATCAGGGTTCTGAAGAGGCTCCTGTGCCCTTCCAGCTCCCATAGCAGCTATCTCTCACCCCAGGGGCTTACAGGCACATATCCACAGAGGGACAGATAGGAGTCTCAGCTCCCGATCAAGGTGCCACTTTTTGTCCTTTGTATAAAGGACACTGCTCAGCCAGCTTATGGTGTGGGTCTTGGTGTCCGTTTCTGTCTGCACGCTGCTCAGCTGTCCAGTGGGTTGCAGGTTCCCTTGCATGCCAAGTCCCATTCCTAATGAAAGTAGACTTTGTTCTGGAAGGTAACTAATCGTGCCCCATGGGCTGTATTCACGGTGAAGGTATTTAATGCGGGGCAGGCGGTAACAGGCGGCCTGCATGACTGGCAGATTTCAACATGGCAATTAGGGAGCCATCGCCCCCGCCCCAGCAGCTAGAGGTAGCCTCTCCTGGGATCCTTTCTGAGTAAGGGAAGAATGAATGCTATGTAGCAAGGAAGGAGGCGGGCTCAGGCCTTGTGCAGGCCTGAGTGTCCCTTTTCCTTCACTTCGCCTTTTGTGGGTGAGAAGAGGGGGGCTGCTGCTCCTGGTGGCTCCTGGGATGTTGCCAGCAGGTTCAATCCAAGGAGTCACAGGCCAGGCTGGGTCGTCCAGGGGTCCCTGTGCCTTGTGTTTCTCCCAGGGCATGGCTGTCCTTATCCCAGGATTCAGCCTCACATCCTGAGGCCTCACCAGGTCCTGAGGCTTAGGTGGTGTGGGGAGCCCAGCAACAAGGCAGCAAGAGGCTTTCCTGCTGCTTGCATTTCCTTACACCCTGCGGCATTCAGCATCCCTAGGCTGTACGCCCCTAGGCAGTCCTTGGCCTCAGCTTGCTTGCCTGGGGCCCATTCACAGTTCAACGACTTCCCTAGGGCCCCCAGTATGGGATCCGTCTCCCTTCTTGGGCTGCCAGAAGTCTCCAGGCCCATCTGGGAGCCTTTTGGGGTTATACCTGGTAGCCAACTCCCTGGCTGACGTGCCCGGGCCTCCTTCCTGCTCATTGCTTCTTCTTGCTGAGCCCATGGCACTGCGTCTGCCCTTCCCTGGGCTCTAGCCTTCTGTTGCCCTCTTCCATGATGCAGTTATGGTGCTGGGCCTCCCACCCCACACCCCATGAGTTGATCTGGAGCACTTAGCAGATGTCAGGAATTGGAGCTGGGGAACCAGGGCCATTGTCTCCACGAACCCCCTCTATTTACTGGCATGGGGTAGGGAGTGACTCAAAATCCCACAGGCATTGGGTGTGTCCCCTTGCTGTGACTCTGACACTTTTGGGGAAGGACCTCCCATACACACACAGGACTTCCCATCTGCAGCTGTTGCCCATCTCAGTGCCAGTCCCACCTGTACTGTCTCCCTGATAACCTGACTCTCCCAGGGCTCCTGGGAGTAGATCTGTGCCCTTAGGAGACCTGGCTGAGTGGTGGGCATCTCAGGTCAGAGTGAGGCCAGGGGAACTGGCAGATGCGTGGGGCCCACTGTGAAGTGGCTCTGAATACAGGGCAGCAGCAGATCAGGGGGTGTCTGTCTCCCTGCCCACCCACCGTTTACACAGGTCCTGGTGCCTTTGGCAGGAATAGGGACGGGGCCTGGGGAAGAGGAGAGGAGAGGCTAGAGACAGGACAGCAAGAGCACCCAGTGCAGGCTGCACAGAGAAGCCTCCGCAGCTGGTAGGAGGGGAAGGGAGGAAAGAAGGGATAGGGTTCTCCGTAGAAAAGGGAGATGGCAGAGACTGTGCCCTGGAGTCACCCCTGGATGTCCACTTTCTGTGCTCTCTGGCCAAGCCGTTGGAACTTTTCTAGGCCTCTCCCTCAGGCTGAAGGAGCCCTTACCCTGGGGCCCTCTGGGGACAACCCCAGGGGACTTGTGGAAGTGATTTGTTTGCTTCCCCACAGCCCAGGAATGTGCTGTCTTTTTAGGCCTGCCTGGATTCCTGTGCAGGGAGTCAGCCGACACAGCTTGCTGTTTGTGCCCTGTGGGGACACGTTCTGCCTCCCATTGAAGGGGTGGAGGCTGGTGGCTGGCTCGTGCCTGTGCTGCCACACCCCAGTTCCCCCAGAAACCCCAGTCGAGGCATCAGTCAGGACCAAGAACACTTCAGCCTCCCTGCCCCCACCATGCTTCCTGCCCCAGGCTACTGGAATGCGACAGGAATCGAGGCCAGGGCTTGTCCCAACAGTGGGAACACATGCTTTTGCCCGCAAGGCTTCCCTTGGCCCCCTGGCTCTGTTCAGGTGGATGGATGGCAGTGGGAAGAGGTTGTTTTTAAGCTCAGGCCACCTGAGGTTACTGCCTCCTTGGATTGCAGCGGTGGTGGCGGCTGCCCCCCTGCTGCAGCCTGGCTCACTGCATGGCTCTGGGCAGAACTGAGGGGCCTTGCAGGTCTCTGCCCAGCCACTGGCCAGTGTCATAGGTGCAGGGCAAGCTTAGTGAGGTAGGGAGTTGGCCGCTGTGTGCCAGAGCTCCTGAACTTGGGCTTTCTGTGGCAGGGTTGCCCCTCTCCATTGTTGACGTTTTGTATGCTACTTCTGTGTTTTAGGGCTGTCGTGCATTGTATGCTGGCACCATCCCTGGCCTCCACCATTAGATGCCAGTGCAGACTCTTTAGGCATTTGCCAGGTGTCCCTAGGGGAAGGGGTGGGTGGAATTGCCTGGAGAGAGCCAAGGCTCTAAAGTGCTGCCTTTCCGGTCTTCTCTCCTGGCCTCACCTTTCCTCTCAGCCAAGTCTGTGAGCTGCTGTTGCGCACAGAGGTGGCCTTTGTGTTTTTATGGAAAGACTGCCAGGAGCTGTCTTCCAGGCTCTCTTCTGCCCATCTTCTTGCAGCTCCCTGAGGCCTTTCCTGATTGAGACCCATGTTCCCCAGAGCACTGAGTTGTTTCCAGACTATGCAAGGCCTGGCAGATGAGCAGGACAGATATGGGAGGGATGGGGACAGGACAGAGCTGGGCCTGCGGCGAGCTGAAACATTGTTTGCGTATAGACATATGGCAGGAAGCGGTGCCTTAGTTGTCTCCTGACCTCTCTGCCTGGCCCTCCCTGGGGACTCATCGAGGTCCTAGCCTGGCAAGCAGGCCTGTGGTGCTGACAGACAGGCAGCTGGCTCCTGGTTTCCACTTTCTTCCCTTCTTTGGTTTCAGGATTGCCTGGCTGGAGGAAGTGGAGGGGCCGTGGGATGCGGAGAGCAGAGGGCTGACTCCCACAGGGCAGTACAGAGCGAGCTGCCAGCGCCTAGACGGTATGTCCCCAACTGTATGTCCATGCCAAGCCTGTGCCCCATGTGGTTTCTCATGAATGGCTGGCAGGAGAGAGGGCAGAGAACACTAGAGCTAGGAGATCCCACTGAGGGGCTGGGCTGGGGGAGTATCTGCCAACCTTTAGCTTTACTCAAAGCAGATGCTCACCAAGCCTTTCTCCAGTGCCCCACACTGCTCTTGGCACCTCTGGAATCTTCACAGCAGCCCTATGCACTGCTCTTGTCCAGTGCACCATTAAGGAAGCCTCGTGAAGAATGGGTTTCCCTTTCTTGGCACCCAGTGAAGGGTGCAGTGCTCCTTTGAGGCTTTTGTTCTCCTCTCAGGTTTACTGGTCCTAGGGGCCGTTCCTGTCCCACCTGTCTGTTTCCAGTGCCCCATGCCCTACTGTCCATATCGTTCCTACCCAGAGGGCCCCTGAAGTGCAGCCACCTAGTGACCCCAACAGTGTCCCAGGCCCGGTTGCCTGTATGGTGGCTCCTGCAACATACATGTGGCCCTTAGTCACTCATGTCTTCTTCGTCAGTGCAGAGGCCTCTGCCCCTTCTCTAAGCCTCTTTATCCCTGGCTTCCCTTAGCAGGTGGAGGAGCCCATACCTCCCAGAATGACCAGTGCAGCCCCTGTGAAGAAGCCCTACCGAAAGGCCCCACCAGAGCACCGGGAGTTGCGGCTGGAGGTTTCTGGATCCCAGCTTGAGCAGGAGGTCAGCAGGACTGATGGCAAAGATAGGCCCTGAGGAAGGTGTCTGCCTATCTTCCCCCACCTGAGCTGTAGGTCATCTGAGTGGGGCTGGGCTGTGGCACCGTAGACATAGCCCAGGGGCCTAACTTCGGCCATGCTGGTGGGAGCACCGAGGGCTCAGGGAGACTGGCTGTCTAGAAATGACCCTGTGTGGCTCTGCTCCCCCTGCAGGATGGGCCAACCTGCTGGAGGCTGGGCTTGGGTCCCTCTTTCTGGTCAAGTGGTGACCTCCTTGGGGCTGCTAAGGACACAGTCCTCCAGCTGCTTCCCACAAGCATAGCTGCTCTGCCTTGTCCACAGGAAGTACGTGCTTCCTCGGCTATGCTGTTGGGCTCATGTGTGTTACGTATGCATTTCCTGCTGGCACCAGCTAAGGTCCAGGCCCTGTCTCTAGCAGGCCTGCAATCGTAGCACACTCATGTGGGTTCTCCCTTGCCAGGTTCCTGGCCGTCCCAACCTATAACAGCACATGGAGCATTTAAAGCAACAGGAAAGCAGTCACCAGATGAACATCAGGCATGTCATGGCCCACTTGGGTCAGATTCAGGCAAGAGAACCTTAGATAAAAATGCCAGCTATAGGCTGGCAAGATAGCTTAGTGGACTAATCCCCTGCTTACGCAAGTGCAGGGACTGGGTTTAATTGCCAGTACCCCATGCCACGCTGGCCATGCCCCTGGGCACGCTGAGCCGGTGACCGAGTCCGGGTGTGGTGGCGCACACCTGTAATCCCAATGCTGGGGAGACTGAAGACAGGATTACCAGGAATCCAAGCTGCGTAGTGAGACCCTGTCCAAAAAAAAAAAAAAAAAAGCTAGCTATTGCCGGATCAGTTGGTATAGACTTGTAATCCCAGCAGTCTGGGAGGCTGAGGCAGGAGGATTGCAAGTTCAAGCCCAGCTTGGGCAGATCCTGTCTCAAAACAACAACAAAAAAGGGATGAAGTTCAGTGAAGACCCTGGGTTCAACCTCCAGTTTTGGGGGCTGGGGAAGCCAGCCTTGTGCTAGTTCCTATCAAGTGGACATTACCCTGGTTTTCTAGATGAAGGGATCCAGGCTTAGTAAGGCGTTTTGGGCCAACATGTGAACAGGGTCAGATCCAGTTGTTAGGAACTCAGTCTTTGGTCTGGGTCACCTTTCCTGCCCATAACTGCAGCTCCGAAGCAGCCCTCAATGCTTCTTCCTGATGTAGCAGCTGCCGGCTCTGCCTATGGCTGGCCACACTCTGGGGCTTGGGCTGTGACCACTGTGGGGCTTGGGGAGGATGGGCTGGAGTTGAAAGCAGCACAGGATGCTCTGCTGCTCTCTTAGGTTCCCTGCTCCTATGCACTGAGCCTCTAAGGACCTGGAGTTCTTCCAAAACTCAGGACTCATAGCGTGGCCTGACTTCACTTTCCTGGAGGTCCCTGCCGTGTAGTATGGGCCTGGGCCCAGGAGGGCATAATGGACAGCTCAGAGGGTGTCTTGGAGGGAGGTAGCATGGTACCAGGACCATCTGAAAATAGCTTTAGGAGTGAGGTGAAAGTTGGCATGAGAGGGCAATTACTAGATAGCACCTCTCTCTAGAAGGGCCTACAGCCCTGTGTGCGGAGCTTCAGGTGGGCCCTGCCAGCATTCATGGAGGGTAGGCTGCCAGGATCTTGAGCTGAGCCTCACTCTTTTGTTCTCTTCTGCCAGGAGCCCCTGACGGATGCAGAGAGGATGAAGTAAGTTGGCTGCCCACAATGTTGCACTGCCCTGTGTCCCCTTAGCTCCCAGCAGGGCTGTTGGAACAGTCGGGCTTTTCCCTGGCACAAGCAAAAGTCAGAGTTGGGATGGGGTTTCTCAGGGACTCTGGAAGGCAGCATGACATTGTGGATACTCTTTTCTGGGTTTTTTACTGTTCTGTAGGTCCTGGAGTGAGGAGGTGGATGGTTGGGAGGGGCCTGCTCTTGCCAGGGAGCTCCTGTGCCAGCTGCCTCCCTGTGAGAGCCCCAGGAGGCCCCAGGAGAGGAGGGTAGGGCTGGGCTGGATTTCCAAGGGATTAATAATGGACAAGCTGATTGTGCAGGAGAAACTAGAGCCGGAACATGGTGGCTGGCTGGCTTGGGCAGTAACCAGAGACAGGCTGGGAGCTGTCCCCCCCGCCCCAATCTTGTCCTGTCATGCAGTGGGGTGGGGGCTACTGTCCCATGCCTCCCCCATGCTTCAGTAGGCTGCATTCTTGGACCTGTGGCATGTGCTGTCCTAGACCTAGCTGATGCCCAAGAATGCCCCTGCCTCAGTTGCCTGGCCCTTCTTGCTGATGCCCTCTTTGTATCCCCACCCACAGACTTTTGCAGCAGGAGAACGAAGAACTTCGCCGGCGCCTGATCTCGGCTACCCGACGCACTGAAGCCCTGGAGCGGGAGCTGGAAATCGGGCAAGATTGCCTGGAGCTGGAGCTCGGCCAAAGCCGTGAGGAGCTGGACAAGTTTAAGGACAAGTTCCGCAGGTATGGGAAGTGGGGCTGGACCCGCACTCGAGCATCTCCCCACGCATAGGTTAGCTGGAAGAGGCCTCAGACATGACTTGTGCTGATTAGAATATGGAAGTTGTGATTCCTGGGCACAGAGCAGGTCTGGACCAGCTGTCTCTGTGCCCCTCACAGGCTGCAGAACAGCTACACGGCCTCCCAGCGGACCAACCAGGAGCTGGAGGACAAGCTGCACACATTGGTACTGTGGCCCCAGGACAGGCACTTGGCCTGGCCCTGTGCTCTGGGACAGGGGCCAGGACTTTCCCTTAGGGAGTCGCTCTGGCTTGGGCCTGGGGTAGGCTGGCGGGGGGCCTGGTGGGGAGGGGATCTCAGTGTGCTGTGTGAGGTGGGACTGTTGTGATGCTCATACTGTTTCTCTTCTCTCCTCGTCTCCCCCTCATGCTGCCACCGTTGCTGCTGCCCTCTCCTCTCAGGCCTCTCTTAGCCACAGCTGGATCTTTGCAGTTGCGTCTGAGTTTGTGTTTCCTCCCTGTGCTGGCCTCCTTGGGGCCCTGGCCCTCTTCCTCTGCCTCCTGAGACCCCTGTCCTGCCCTCTCCCTGCACGAGGCCTGTTCAGTAGTTGGGGCTAGGGCTCCTGCCCTGATGTCATCCTGAACACCGACTGCTCAGCCGCAGGGGCAGTGGGCCAAGGATCAGAGACAACTTTGGACCTGCAGCCTCCAACCAGATCACCCCCTGGGCACCCCACTTGGGCTTGGTTGTTCCCTCTTGCCTCTTCCTGGCATGGCTGAAAACAGCTGCACACAGCTTCAGCCCTAAGTGTAGTTTCTGCCTGTGGGTCCCAGCAACCTTCTGGTGCTCAGAGCCCCTGAAACTCTGTGGCCTATAGACAGGTCTAGATTGTTTCTCTCCTGGGCCTTGCCCTGGCCGGCTGCAGAGTAGGGGCAGTGCCCAGTCTCCTGTCTGTTCGTCACTTGTCTGCTGTGTTGCCTTGGCTGCCCTGGCACCTGTGCCTCGTGTCTGTGGCCTGGAGGTCAGGTGGGATGGGTGGGGGAAGGGCTGGCTGGGCCGGGCTTGATTTACCACTCTTTAATGTGCCTCAGATCCAGAAGGCAGAGATGGACAGGAAGACACTGGACTGGGAGATTGTGGAGCTGACCAACAAATTGCTGGACGCCAGAAACACCATTAACAGGCTAGAGGAGCTCAATGTAGGTCACCTGCCCTTCGTGCCCCACCCCCAGAGTGGGCTTCTCTGGGGACGGTGCAGCTGGCGGGCACTGAGGTCACTTTGTGTGCAGGAGCGCTACCGGCTGGACTGCAACCTGGCTGTGCAGCTTCTCAAGTGCAACAAGTCCCACTTCCGTAGCCACAAATTCGCTGACGTGAGTACAGCGCCCCCTGCCAGCGCTGGCCAGCCTGGCTCTGAGTCCCAAGCCCTAGCTCTGTCCAGAGCCTTCACCTGCACCCCCCCACCTGGCCCTCCTACCTCCAACCTACCCTGCAGCTTAGGCTGACACTGTTGAGGGGGCTGGCCCTGCTGGCCTTTCTGTGATAGGGACTCTGCTTGAACCTGTGAGAGGGAGGTGTGGCCAGAGCTTTTGGCTCCTGTTACCCCCAAGGGGCAGCTCTAGACCCCAGAGCCACATGGCTGAAAATACCTCACACAGCTTCTGCCCTGGGTGTGGTTTCTGCCTGTGGGTCCCACCCAGCAACTTTCTGGTGCTCAGAGCCCCTGAAAGTCTGTGGCCCCGTCATGTGGGTTTGGGCAGGACACACTAAGGTCGGGGAGGTAGAAGGTCCTGAGCACACAGCCTCGCCAGTAGGTCCCAGCCGTATCATCAGGGGCTGCAGGTTATTTTCCACTGTTGAGCCTGTGTCTGTGAAATGCAGTCACGGGGAGAAAGCATGTGCAGCACACGCGGCAGGGCTGGGACAAGGAGCCATGATTCTCCCATGGCCCAGCTGTCCTCAGCTGGGCTGTTCACACCTCTCTTGTTTCTCTCAGCTGCCCTGTGAGCTGCAGGACATGGTTCGGAAACATCTGCATAGCAGCTCTGAGGCTGCCAGCCTGGGTTCTGCTCCCATCCCAGCCCCAGGGGCTGTGGTGCCCACCTCGGTCATTGCCCGTGTGCTGGAGAAGCCAGAGTCCCTGCTGCTCAACTCTGCCCAGTCAGGCAACGCTGGGCTGCCCTTGGCTGAGGATGTCTTTGTGCATGTGGACATGAGTGAGGGTACCCCAGGGGATACGGCTAGTCCCTCAGCCCCTGGCAGTCCCACCCTCCAGCCCAATGGTGAGTGCCACTCTCTGGGTACTGGAGGGGGCTCCCCAGAGGAGGAACAGTGTCTGCCAGCCTTTGAGAAGTTGAGCCCCTACCCTACCCCATCTCTGCCCCACCCACTATATCCTGGCCGCAAGGTGATAGAGTTCTCAGAGGATAAAGTCCGCATCCCTCGCAACAGCCCACTGCCCAATTGCACCTATGCCACACGTCAGGCCATTTCCCTGAGCCTGGTAGAGGACAACAGTGAGCGGGCCCGCCCCAGTCCAGGGCCCAGCAGCCCTGCCTCGGCTCAGGCCTCCCCTCACCACCAGCCTGGCCCTGCTGCCCCCGAGCCCAGTAACCTCACCAGCTCCATGAGCTCTGAAGAAGACCTTTTGGCCAGCTGGCAGCGGGCATTTGTAGACCGCACTCCGCCGCCTGCCGCTGTGGTCCAGCGCACAGCCTTTGGGCGGGATGCCCTCCCTGAGCTGCAGCGCCACTTTGCTCTTAGCCCTGCCGACCAAGATGAGGTGATTCTGGCACCTTCTGCCCCACCTGATGAGAGTAGGTTCCTGCTGCCAGCAGAACCAAACCCGGACTCCTCCAGGGAAGAGGAGGAGGAGATGTTGAACCTGCCTGTCAGCCCTGAGGAAGAGCGCCAGAGCCTGCTACATGGGAACAGGGGTACAGAGGAGGGGCCTGGTGCTTTGCACATTGAGGGCAGGGCCTGGCCACAGCCTGCCTCCAGCCGCCCCCAACGCAGCCCCAAAAGAATGGGGGTGCACCACCTGCATCGCAAGGACAGCCTAACCCAGGCCCAGGAGCAGGGCACCCTGCTCAGCTAGGCCACCTTCAAGGACAGCCTGGCCCTAGCCTGGGAGCAGGCAGCCTGCAGAGGCCTGGGCCTGGACTCTTCCCCCTGGCTTGCACAGCTTGGTTCTCTGTATGAGGGACAGGCTATTACGCCAGGCCTTCCAGTTTTATTAACAATGGCACCGGCTTGCCTCCTTCATGACTTTGTCCTTGGCTTGGAGTATTTTTTCTCCAGAGTAACATGCAGGTGGCCTCAGGCCGATCCGTCACCAGCCCAGGTCAGGCTGTGCTGGGTCATGGAGGGGCTCATCAGTGTTCACCCCAACCCCCCTTCATGTTCCTGGCTTGGTGCACTGGGGCACTGCTGGGATTAACCTCTGGTTTGTTTTCCTCTGCTACCCTCTGGGTGCCTGGCCCAGCTGCTCCAGGATACAGAACTGAGACTCAGGGCTCCCCTTGCTGCTCCTCCCCCTCTGTGGGGGAGCAAGGGCTTCAGAGGCCTCAGGGCTGGGCTCTGGGTGAAGCTCAGCTCCTCCCAACCTTGGCTCTAGACTGTTACACCCAGCTTTGGGAAATTTTCACATTGATGACTATTTTAAAATAAAACTATTTTACAGATATGCCCTCACTTGTCTTAATGACCTTCCCCTCTTCCCATTTTTGAGTAGTCCTGATCCTAGTGTTTTCCTGGTCTTTGCCAGTGCCTCAGCCCCTCCCATTCTGCCTGGGGCCCTGGAGTGGACCCTTAAGTAGCCTTGGCAAGGCACGGGTCGCCCTTCAGCCCAGCTGTGGAAGTAGGTTCCTACCTGTAGTCCAGATCGTCATAGGTTTGTGTAAGTGTAAGGTGTCAGGGCCCAGGTCCTAGACAAGGTCCAAGCCTCCTGGAGGCTCAAGGGAGCTCTGGCTGTGGGGGGATCCTGCCCTCTAGTGGTGCTTAACCGCAATTCGGATTCCTCCCACAGCGACCCCTAGTAACCACAGCCTCACACCAAGTTACAGATTTGTAAAATCTCTTCCGAGCCAGCGGGTTGCAGCCAGAGCTGCTAACAAGTCCAGAGGCGTGGCCCTGGGCTCCAGTGCCTCCAAGGCTGTTGTCAGCCACAGCGTTGTCCAGAGCTTCCCACACTATCAGGAGCTACCAGAGCCCTGGGGCCACTCTGTCCCAAGTCACAGAGCCTATCCCTGCCATTCAGGGAAGGAGCTGAGAACAGCAAAACATGTAATGATACACAGAAACGCAAGTGAAGAGTCACATCTCAGTCTCAGCCAGCAAACTGTCCCCCAATCCTGACGTCATTAGCACCATCTGGGAGCTGGCATCTGCAGAAGGGTAGAGGGTGTTGAGAATAGCATGTGTTTGCCAGGTGAGAGTTGGCCTATTTCTCCACCCACCTTCCCTGTCCTGTATTCTCCACACCTGGCTCCAACCAATCCTCTGGTTCTTACCGCCAGGGCACATCCAGGAGCTGCTGCCCCTTGTATGGGCAGTAGGCTCCCTCCCTCGTTCCCATTCCTGGGTGTCACCAGTCCCTCCAGCCACTTCCTCCTCTTCCTCGCCCTCAGAGAGGAGGTCACAGATCTGCTGCTGCAGCTCAGGGCTGATGCTGTTCTCGGCCAACACCAGACTCCGCAAGGCTGTTGGGTAATTTTCCACCATGTCCAGTAGGGTCTGCAGTGGAATGGTGGAAAAGATAAATCCACATAATTGCAGCAGGTCCTTGGACCTCAGCTGCTTTTGTCCATCCCATCCCCGACTTGTCCCAAGCATCACAGCCTCTCACCTGAGCTGACTGGTTGGTAAGCCCTGTGCCCTCCAAGTCTAGGACCTCTAGGGTACGGCTGGAAGCCACAGCCACAGCCAGCATCCCTGCTACATGGTCACCTGGGGAGACAGCACACACATACTCTGACCTGTGTTCATGCCTTGTCAGTCCCATCTCCACTCATCCTCCCCAGTACACTAAACACCTTTTGGCTCCACCCCTGGCTCCTCAGGAGACTATGGTTGTTAGTAGCTGGTGGGGACAGGACTAGAACTGGGTTGCCCTGACCTGCCTGATGGTCACCTACTAGTCCACACAGGACAGCTCCCCGCCTGTCCCTGCCTGGGCCCTCACTCCTCTTCCCTCCCCAGTGTGAGGTTTCCATGGCAACAGTGTTTTCCAGGTTCTTGGGTAGGTGGGCGGGGCACGAGTCTCACCCAAGGGGTTGTAGTCCAGATTGAGAACTCGGACCTGGGAACTGTGGGCTACAGCGATGGCCAGGCGGCTCCAGCCCTTGGGGGTGATGCCAGGGTTGGCGCTCAGTGTCAGTTCCTTTAGGCCTGGGCAGCAGTGCAGTAAGAAGCCAGACAGGGAGGGTTGAGGCCTACTCCAGCCCTTTCCCACCCTGTGCTTTTGGGCCATCATCAATGGCTGGGAGTCATCCCACCCCATCCACAGAGCTCCAGAGCCTCTGAGGACCCTGAATCTCCTGCTTGCTCCATCCCCAGCCCCCCTCTCCTGGATGTTCCTAACCCAGCCCAGGAAAAACTCTGCACTTAGCTTCCACCCAAGCCACCCCCAAAAAATGCCCTGCTCACCAGACTTGGCCCCGTCTGGGGGGAGGAGGCCACAGATGAGGTTGATGGCTTCATCACCCAGCATGCAGTCCCCCAGGTCCAGAGCCACAAGGGCAGGGTGGAGGGCCAGGGCTGGATTCAGCAGGGCCAGCCCAGCATCTGTCAGTGGGCTCCCATGCAGGCTGTGGGGAGGCAGGAGGACAGTTACTTAGCGCCCAGCCTTCCAGTGGAAGGAGGTGCCTCCCCTGAGAGGACCCACAGGAGGTGGGATGAACACTTTGGATTCTTTAATACCGAAGAGGGTCAATCTGTTATTTTTCTGGGGCGAGGGCTGGGATCCAGGATATTGCAGAAGACAGCAAAGCAGGGGCGTTCAGGTGGTGCCCTGGAATTTTCCAGTGGGCACAGTGGTAGGGACAAGGCTCTAGTACCCGGGTTGAGGGAGGGGTTCCATTTTGAGAACCGAGGTGCAGTCCTAGCAAAGTAAAGAAGGGTGATAAGATGGGAAAGGCAGACAGGCCTTGCCAGGAAGGGGTGTCTACCACCTCGTGGGGCCGCAGGAAGCCCAGAACCAGACAAGCCTTGGAGGGTGTGGTGGAGACGCGGGCAGGGTTGCAAGGTCAGCCAGGTGGAAGGCAGGAACTGGAAAGTACAGAGGGATAGCAGGTGGCAGGGGTGCGCGCGGCGGGCAGGCGCAGCGCCTGGGACCCCTTGGCTAGGGGCGCACTCACAAGAGGGACTGGATGGAGCGGTTGGTCCTCAGTGCCTCCGCCAGCTGTTTGATGCGGCTGGGGCTGGACACGACGCCCAGGTTAAGGTTGAGCTGCGCCAGGGACGTGGCCCCGGCTAGGGCCCGGCAGATGCGGCCGAAGTCGCGGTCACAGAGGCGGCAGCCGCGCAGGGAGAGCAGGCGCACGGCGTTGTCACGCAGGCCGCGGCAGATGTCCCGCACCTCGGCGCCTGACAGCGGTTCCCCCGAAATCTGAATGGAGCTGGGCAACATCCTACCCGCGGGTGGGCCGCAAGGGCCGGGGCGGGCACGGAGCGGGCTGGGAAAGAGCGCCCGGACCCCGAGCGGGACGATGAGGACGCGTGATGGGGCCGGCGGGCGCTGCCCCGCGCTGGTCGTCGTCGGCTCTAGCAGTTGTGGAGGCAGCAGCCCGAAGGCGGCTCGGGCCCGGCCCCTGCTCAGAGGCCGTGCCACCCCCGCTCTCCGGCCCGGCTCCCCTGGCCGCCGCGGGCACGGCGTGCGTCTCGCGGGGACAGCCCAAGGCGGGCGGCGCGCCGCTGCTCGGCTTCAGCTCCGGAGCCGGAGCGGGCGGTGGGTTTCCATAGTAACGGGTCGCGTCACCAACGCTCGCCCCGCCCCTCCCGGCCGGGCCACGCGGCCCTAGAGGCTGCGCGCACCCATGGGAAGGGGGCGCAGGGTTACCCTTCTCTAGACCACGTCGAGCCAGAGGGCTGGGCCCTAGGGCGAGCAGGACCGAGAAGCAGCAACGGGGGCGCAGCACGTGAAGGGGGCGTGTGATGCCGTGGCCTGCTCTGCTTCCCATTCCCCGCCACGGCGTTTAAGGCTCTCTCCGCCCCAGCGTGGCCCTCTGCGGTTGCAGGTCCTGGGCCCTTTAATCTGCGCTGAGCCGCGCCCGGCCCTGCCCTCCCGTGACGCGGGGCGCCACGTACGTGGGGATTCCGCCAGCGGCTTCCCCACCAGGAGCCTTCTAGACGCCGCTCAGGGGAACCGCAGGCCCGGTGCCGTTGGTGGTGCCCTGCAGACGCTGCCTTTAACGTGTGAAAATGAAAGGGCCAAGACGTAGGAGTGCCAGGAACAGCGACACAGCTTGGCTGTGGCAGGAGGGCCGGTACACTGATGACAGTAGTGAGAACGTTCTGGGTAACAGGGCAAATGAAGGGCACAGGTCCCTTCACTGGGAAGTAAAGATGCTGCTGACTCACGGTTAGCAGCGACAGGCTGTTTTTTTGAAAAGTAAATACTGGGTTGGGGGTGTGGCTCAGTGGTAGAGCACTTATTTGTCCCACAGGAACAAGGCCCTGGCCTCCAACATGGTCCCCACCCCCCAGTCAAAGCCCTATTTCCTTTTGATTTTTTTATGGGCCCAAGGGCCTTTGCACTGAACTACATTTTTTTGTGTGAGGAGTTGTGATACATTCATTGCCTAGGTTGAGCTTGAACTTGCAATACTCCGCCTCAGCCTCTGAGAGCTGGGTTTTTAGTTAGGTGCCACCACACCCTGAATTTTGAATCAACTTCTTAAATGCAGTAGACTCCTAGCAGGGCTGCATGCTGCAATGCGAGGTACTCTTGAAAGAAGAGGGCAGAAAGAAAACAGAAGGGGAAAAAAAGTTGGTTTCAGATGTGAGCTCCATGGGAAAGTTTGCTCCATGGCACCCCAGCTGCACCAGGTCCTTGTATTGGTGTGGGGCTCGATCTGGAAATTTCTGTCCAATTCACACTAAAAGTGCAGGCAGCAGAGTCTTATCGGGTGTGCTCTTCCTCAGGCCTGCCCTCCGCTCCAGGGGTCACAGGTGCCCTGTCCTTGGCCAGGCTCCAGTCATTGACATCTAAGTGTGTAGTCTCTCTCACCTTCACCTTGCCTGAGGGGACAAGGGAGGGGCATGGCATATTACCCCTGCATGTGCAGGAGGCAGGGTGACAGACAGGGAAACCACTGGAACAGGAGCTGTAGTTCCAGACTCAAGCAGTGTTTTAATTACTGAGTCTATAATTAGCAACATGGGGGGGGTTCAGGGTGCTGACCCACTTTCCACACTGGCTCCAGAGCCTGGCAGTCCTAGCCAGGCGTTCCCAGACTTGTGCCTTTCAGAAGCCTGGAAAGGTCTCATGGAGGCACCTAAGTAGGTATAGCTCAGCAACGGCTGCAGACCCCAGTAAGAGACAGAGTCCTGTCCTTTAATCTTCTGCTCCAAAACCGGGACAACAGGGCTGGCCATGGACTTCAGCTGGTCAGTGTGACTGCAGGGACACTGCAAGAGCCTTGGCTGTGGCATTGAGCATGGTGGCAGGAAGCCTGGCAGCAGGGAGCACACCGGGGATGTCCCTGGGGACTCTCTGCATGGGTGGGACGTTGGGGCCCTCCAGCGTGTCCAGGATCCCTGCAAAGAGGCAGCACGAGGGGAGGTGCATGAACGCAGTCCCTGACCTGGGCAACCCTCTGACTGCCCCACACAGCCTTCATGCCACTTACCTTCTACCACCTTGTGGTAGGCAAAGTGCAGATAGAGCAGGAAGAGCATGTGGAGGGCGGCCAGGGTGCCACACAGGAGCAGCCTCTGGGTGGGGCCCACGGTGCGAGACACCAGCACTGCCACCTAGGACCACAGGATGCAGCTTGGAGGGCCCAGAGTCCGGGGAGGGGTAGAGCTGAGTCCCCCCCCCCCCACTACCAGGACAGGACAGTCTGTGGCCCTGCAGGTGCACAGCCTGGGCTCCCTATGGGAGGACAGCACCCACTTACCATGCGCAGGGTGGACAGCCCCCCCAACAGCAGCCAGAAGAGGTAGAAGAGGGCGTGGAGGTGGATGTTGTAGGTGATGAACAGGACAATGCAGTGCCCGAAGAGACCGTAGCCCTGGGAAGCAAAGAGAAAAGTCACTGGGCCGGGCCACCCCCAGCCACCCAGCCCCACTGGCTGCTCCTCCCACTGTAGGCCCAGGGGCGCCTGGACAGAGGCACACAAGGACTGGTTCCTTACCAGAAGCGCCAACATCTGGAGCATGGTGATCTGGGCATTGCATAGGTAGGCGAGGAAGTAAATGAAGGATGAGACGCCTAGCCAGTAGCCGAAGCAGGTGCCAATGGCTGTGCCCATCAGAGTGCCCTCCCGCTGTGGGGTGAAGGCTCTGTTAGCCCAGGGAGGCCTCAATCCCAGCCTCAGTGCCAAGGGTCTTCTGCAAGAGCTGCCTGTCTCACTGCCATCGTGTCTCCAGGCAGTTTTCGACCTACTTCAGCCACCTCCCCCCCTTTGTGGCCCGCTTACAATTATGGTGTCCGACGTCTTCATCCCATGTAGAAGGATGGCGACCAGTGTGAAGACCAGCATGAGAGGGCCGTAGAGCTCCCCTGCAATTTTCTGTCAAAACACCAACTCCTTCAGGCTGGAGGCTGTGATGCTTTTCTCCACCCTTGCAGGCTTCACTTGGCCGCCACCCCCACAGCCACCCCTAGTCACCTGGGGGAAGTTGACCATCTTGATGGGGATCATGGACTCCAGTAGCCTGGGAGAGGAGAGGAGAGATGAGAGCAGAGCAGCACTGGGCGAGGAGGCCCTGGAGGACAAGGCCTGACCCTAGTCATCTCTCTAGCTTCAGGGAACAGACAGGCTGGGGGACATGGAGAAAAAGGTCATAAAGATGCAGGGAAGAATACCACTCCCAGGGAGGACAGTGTTCAACGGGGGCAGCAGCTATTTGGGGAACTCAGAGAAGCCTGCTGGACCATGGGAGAAGGCCTGGCCATGACCTATCTGACCTGATCTCTCCCTTCAAGACAGGCTGACCTCAGCAGAGGGACCCAGAACTCCGGGCTGGGATATGAAACCCTAGGAAAGGCTTAGGAGGAAAAGTCTCTTCCTAAGTGATCAGCCTAGGTTTTTAGCTAGTTATTACTTCCTCTAGGAAGCCAGCTCTGTCCTACCCACTTGCCTGCTTGAGCTCAGGTGTCCCTTGTCTGTATGCCCTGTCTCACCATAGTTCTTTTGCATAACTGTACTCAACAGCAACACTCCCATCTGTCTTCACCACTGAATCAAGCACCATGAAAGAGTGCCTGGCTCTGTGTATTTGATTAAAACTGCTTAAAGGATAAACAAAAAAAACAAGATAAGGTTAGGACCTCCAGGGCTGGCCAAATAGCTCAGCAGATTAAAGTGCCTGTAAGCAGGTGCAGGGCCTGGGGTTCGATCCCCCAGCCTGCTGTGCTGGCCCCACCCCAGGGGCTCTCAATTGAGACTGGGCATGGTGGCACACATCTGTAATCCCAGCTCTTGGGAGGCTGTAAACTGGCAGATCACTACAAGTCCAATCGAGTAGTGAGAACCTGAACACCCTGTAGATCCTTCCCAAAAAAAAAAAAAAAAAAGACCTCCACACCCTTGCCCTTGGCAGTACTAGAGAATGAACACAGGGTGTCTCACATGCTAGGCAAGTGTTCTACCATGGGTTACGTCCCCAACTCTTTTGAGACAAGGTCTCACTCAGTTGCCTGGACAGGCTTTGAACCTGCGGCCCTCTGACCTCAGCCTCACAAGCAGCTGGGACTATAGGTGTGGACTACCACACTGAGCTAAACCCACTGTTTGAGAAGCCATTCCCTAACTATGCTCCAACGTGCTGGTTCCGAGACAGTTCTGGGATGAAAACATAAAAGAATGCAGAGCCTGCTTTTGAGGAGCTGCTGGTCTCCAGGGAGACAGAGAGCAATAAGAACATGTGAGTGCTACAGTGCCATCTGTTGGAGGAAAGGGCAGAGTTCCACATAGCAGCAGCGGGTGAGAACAAACAGGGTGGGCTGAGGAACGCAGAACAAAGAAGTGCCTTGTGAGCTGGAGGGTTTTCTAAAAAACTTCTTTGTTTTTTTGAGACAGGGTCTCACTATGCAGTTTAGGCTGGCCTTCAACTCACTTTGTAGCCCAGGCTGGTCTCCAACTTGCAGTGATTCTCCTGTCTCAGCCTCCCGAGTGCTGGGATGACAGCATGTGCCACCACACCTGGCTCTGAGCTAGAGTCTTATTGTGGAGACAGGGCCTTGCTATGTAGCCCAGGGTGACCTCGAGCTTACAATCCTCTTGCCTTGGCCTCCCAGGTGCTGGGATTACAAGGGAGTGTCACCAAGCCCAGCCTGAGCTAGGTTTTGTGAGGTTGAGCAGTGTGCTGGGTGCAAAGAGGAGGGAAATGTGTCACTGCCATACTGTGTTCAGTGACAGCGCAGGAAGGAGGGTGCTAGGTTAGGAAGAGGGGAGACCATGAGAGTGCTGGCTCAGCATCTAGTATGGATGAAGTACTAGGTGTCAGGAGGGAAGTTTCTGGCAAGAGAAGGTTCCTCACCTGCTTCGCACCTGAGCAGGCTCCACATCAAAATAGGGTCTCAGGATGTCGATGTTGGCATACAAACTGAAGGCTCTGGATGCTTGTCTCTTTCCTGCCTGCCACATCTGAAGGAAGATGGGGGTAGGAATTATGAGACTCTTGGTTCCAGCCCCTGTTGCCTGTTTCCCATTGGATTCCTATGTGGTTCTACCGGGACAGCCTGGGGTGAACATGCCTAACTCTACTTTTGAATCTGCCAGGGATTCAGAGTTGCTTACCTGATCAGCCACCTGCCGGCTCAGCTGTCCCTTAAAGCCTTTCATGCCCAGGAACTCCCCATCCTCATCATCTGCAGCAGCCGCTTCAGCATCTACCTCTTCCTCGCGGAGGCGCTGATGGAGCTCACCCATGTCCTCGAAACTGGAGCCTGAGGTGTCATCCATGTTCTCCATGTCAATCACAGCTGAGCCCCCGCCCTGTGGAGACAATGGCTCCTAGAGTGCCTTTCTGTTGCATCCATGAAATCTTCCCATCCTAGGACTTGTGGATTTGTTCCTGCATTGCAGAGGACACGGCTTGGAATCACAAAGATCACACACCCCTTTCCCCTCATTTACTCTTGGAGCCCTTGTCTGCCGACCCCAGGACTCTTGCAGCCCAGGAAACTTGCTACTTGTCTTCATGTATGTCTGCTTCTTTCCCGATCAGACTCTCAGAGGGCTGCAGAAGCACCCGTTTCTTTTGCTTTCCCAAGTCCCGGACAAGATGATATCCACATGCTAGTGGATCCAGTGGATCCCAGAGTCGGCCCCCCACCATGATCTACCCCCAACCGATCTCCTAACTGGTCTCGAAGGTGAGGCGCTTTTCTCAGAGCCTCCCGCAGGCCAGCAGCCCGCGGCCCTCCGGCTGGAGCATAATCCGGCCCTTTGGGGTCAGCACTAGGGCCCCTGAAATGCGTGAGGGCACCTGGAAGACAGGCTCAGGGGAAGGACAGTGGACAACACCTCGGGGCGGCTTCGGCCCCCGGGCTGCTGGCAGCCGGAGTTTTGGGGCCATTACCTGGATGTTTTCTTCGAACCCTCCCCATTCTGGGCCAGCTCCGCTTCGGGCCCCGCCGGCCGGCGCGGCTGGAGTTGCCATGTCCCTCGAGGGCTCCCGTCGCTGAAGCTCGCGCGAGTCGCGCGCGCCTAGGAGCAGCGGGCGAGGGAAGGGCCGGGGCAAGAGACAGTGCCCGGGAGAGGACGGGTAATAGACCCAAGTCCTCCAAGCAGAGAACCCGGATGTTTGGCCAGGATTGACTTCCGGAAGCTGTGGACGTGGAGGGAGCTGGCGAGACTAAGCTTCGCGATATTTCCGACGCGAGGGGGCGGGGCGTTGTTACGGATACGAAGGCGGGCTGTAGGGGAGAAAGAGCCGGCGCGTGGACTTGGTGTCGTGGAGCCCTGGAAGATGGCGGCATCGCAGGCGGTGGAGGAGATGCGGAACCGCGTGGTTCTGGGGGAGTTCGGGGTTCGCAACGTAAGGGCTTGTTGCCTGGAGCTCGGGAGGAAGACTGAGACAGAAACAGGGTTGGTTGCGGGGATCTGAATGGCAATGGGCTGAGCCCCACCGCCCCTTGGTGGACAGGTTTCTGTCTTTGCCCTAGGTTCATACCACGGACTTTCCCGGTAACTATTCGGGTTACGACGATGCTTGGGACCAGGACTGCTTTGAGAAGGTGAGCGGGGCCAGAGGTTTCCGGAAAGGGCCTGGAGCTAGACCGCGTGATCCGAGACGCGTGTGTCTCTGAAGCTGTTCCTGAGGTCATCCCGATAAAGTTAAGCGTTTACTGAGCTGGAGAGCCAAGTTAGACAGTTTATGCTCTGTTCTGCAAAAACCCCAACAAAACAGAAAAAAAAACACTCCACGTAACTTTGGGGAGTAGAGTGCATAAACGAGTTACTGTACAACGTATTAAAGGCCGTTGATAGGGATCTGGACGGTGGGGATGGAGCGTAGGGTAGGTCATCCCTAGACTGTGTTTGAAAGAGCTGGAGTGAGAGAACATTTTGTGGTTCGCAGTTTAGACAGGCGGAGGGTAGAGTTATGTAGTTTCATGGAGGTGACATCTGAGTGGATCTTTGAAGGATGAGTAAAATTTGAGAGCAGTGAAGAGTGAGGAGGGACTAAGAACAGGCGTGAGCTGAGTGAGGTGCCCCCAGATTGTGTTTAGGCATAGCGCTATCACCGGGATATTAGGGGGCCAGCATGGGTGGTCATAAGATCGTGTTATCTTTAAAAAAAATATTTAGTAAAGGGTCTACAGGGTCTCACTACGTAGATCAGACTCGTAGTGATTCTCCTGTTTTCAGCCTCCCAAGGGCTGGGATTACAGGTGTGCACCACCTTCACAGCTCAGCACGCCCCAGGGGCTGGGCCGGCACTGCATGCCAGGGATCAAACCCCAGTCCCTGTGTCGTCGGCCTAAGCAGGCCCTTTAACCTGCAGAGCTATCTGGCTGGCTGTCTTTTTTTGTCTTTTTGAGACAGTTATGCAGCTAAAGCTGGCCTTGAGCTCATTTTGTAGCCTAGGCTGGTCTCAAACTACAATGATCCTCCTGCCTCAGCCTCTGGAGTGTTGAATTACAGGAGTGTTGGGATTACAGGCGTGTGCCACCATCCTAGGCTCTGCAGGTGACAGGGAGCTTTTGGCAGAGGTCTTAAGCGGCACTACCCCATCACAGTCTTGATAGTTGGAAGGCAGTGGATTTAAGGAAGATTATACCTAACATGGCAGATCTGCTAGATTATATACAGTGCTGAGATTGAACTGAGGCTATAATGGCAGGGGATGGCAAATAAATTTTCAGTTGCTTTGCAGATGCTCATAAAATGGGTTGGGGGGAGCCGGGGAGATGGTTCAGTGGAATAAGTGCTTCCCTGGCAAGCTCAAGTGTCTGAGTTCAGTCCCTGGTTCTGAGAAAAAAAAAAAAAAGGGTTGGGGGTCTGCCGTGGTGGATGATGTTGTAGTTTACCAATAAAAGGAAATGGATCAGGAAACAGGGATAATGATGTAGTTTCCTTCTAGTAGGTGTTCAGGCTGGTTGTGTGTGTGTGTGTGCAGGGTCTCACTACACAGCTGAGACTCATAGTGATCCTCCTATTTTCTGCCTTCCTAGTGTAGAACTCCCATCGCTGGCTCAGCACACCCAGGGGCAGGGCTGGCAAGGCATGCTGTGCCAGGGATCAAACCCTGGTCCCTGCACTTACCTAAGCAAGTGCTTAGTCTGCTGAGCTATATCACTGGCCTTAAAATTTATTTATTTGGTACAAGGTTTTACTGTACTGCTAGAACTTGTAGTGATCCTCCTGTCACAGCCTCTCCAGAGCTGGGATTACAGGTGCATGCCACCATGCCCAGTTTCAGTGGCTTACTTGGCACTGCATGTGGTACTGGGGATCAAACCTATGTCCATGTGCTTGCCAGGCAGGTGCTTAGACCCACAAAGCTGTCTCCCCATCCCCTAGACTGTGTTTGTAAAGATCTGAAATGAGATTTTGTGGTTTGCCAGTAGAAACAGTATGGTTGAGGGAGACAGCCCAAAGCTAGGAAAAAATGTTAACACTTAGGAGGTGGGCAGAGTATAGTGAATTTAGCACTCATTAGAGAAGGAATAGATTAATAAGAATGGTGCTCAGAAACAAAGGAGTTTGGAAAGGGAGAGACTTTTGCTTGGTGTAGCTGTGCATGCCTGCAGTTCCAACACTTGGGAGACTTGAGACGGGAGGACTGCCCATGAGTTTAAGGCCAGCCTAGGCTACATAGTGAGTTAAGGCCAGGCTGAGCTATTTGGCGATTCCCTGTTTAAGAAAAAACAAAAACAAAAGGAAAGCACTGAAGGGCAAGAGAACATCTAATAAGGGTCATCTGTGCAGAGGGAAGTTTTTGAATGAGAGGATGTTAGGACGTTGAGATAAATATTCAGGGCTGCTGTAGAGAGGATTTTTGATCATACAGAGGAAGCTTCATGTTTTACTTTTTTTTTTTTCCTGTCTTTAGAACTTCCGTGTGGATGTGGTACACATGGATGAAAACTCATTGGAGTTTGACATGGTGGGAATCGACGCAGCTATTGCCAATGCTTTCCGGCGAATTCTTTTAGCAGAGGTACAGCAGGGTTCGAATTGCCTAGAGCACTAACGCCTTGTTTGTAGAATTGTCTCAAGCCATCGCTTCCCCATTTTTACCCGGGAATTTTACTGAGTTTTTCTTTCCCTTTCATTAAGCATCCTTCTTGGAAGGATCCCTATCTTGGGATTTTTTTTTTGGCTGAGGCTGCCATAAGGGTGCGTCTGGTGCTGCATGTGGAGCTAGGGATCGAACCATGGTACCCTGTGCCTGAGTTTGCCCAAGCAGGTGCTTTAAGGGGTCCCTATCTTGGGCACTGGCTAGGTGTGGAGTCTGGTAGGCTTTGGCACATGGGCCGTTTTCTTGGGCAGGTGCCAACAATGGCTGTGGAAAAAGTTCTGGTGTACAACAACACATCCATTGTCCAGGATGAGATCCTTGCTCACCGTCTGGGGCTCATTCCTATTCTTGCTGATCCTCGGCTTTTTGAATTTCGGAACGAAGGTGAGTGTCTTGTATTTCAAGGTGGCCTTGAACTTAGGACAATCCTCTTGTCTCAGCTTCCTGAGTGCTGGGATTACAGATGTATGCCACCATGCCAGGCAAAGAAAAAGAGATTTTGATAATAGCAGAACAGCTCTGTCCTCAAGTACATTCTAGAATCAGACTGTCTGGGTTCAGTTCCTAGACTGACCCCTGGATGACTGTGGGTATGTTATTGTCTTGATACATCAGCTGTGTGAGAATGTTTACACTTTTCTTAAATTTATCAGGAAGATTTTGAAAATGTAAAGCTTTGAGCATACTGCCTTTTTTTACTGGTTCTTCAAAAGCTGTCCTTCCCCATTCGTGTGCAGGAGATGAAGAAGGCACAGAGATAGACACTCTGCAGTTCCGGCTGCAGGTCAGGTGCACCCGGAACCCCCAGGCTGCTAAAGATTCCTCAGACCCCAATGAACTCTATGTGAACCACAAGGGTGAGCAGCAAGTTAAGAGGGCTCATGTGTGGGTGGGGCTGTTCCCAGGACGGGTTCTTCTGACTGTTTCTGCAGTGTACACTAGGCACATGACATGGGTCCCCTTGGGGAACCAGGCTGATGTTTTCCCGGAGGGTACCATCCGGCCTGTGCATGGTGACATCCTCATTGCTCAGCTGCGGCCTGGCCAGGAGATTGACCTGCTCATGCATTGTGTCAAGGGCATTGGTGAGAACCCCTGGCCCACCAGGGCAAGGAAAGCAGGGGTGGGCTTGTGGTTTGATCCTCAGTTGCACAGATAATGGCTAAGTACCTCAGCTGGGATAATGCCCACAGGTTAAGCAGCAGATGGGTTTGTATCAGTGCATAAGACGATGAACAAAAGTTCTCACGGGCTAACTCCTTTGTCCAGGCAAAGATCATGCCAAGTTTTCACCAGTGGCAACAGCCAGTTATAGGCTTCTGCCAGACATCACCCTGCTGGAGCCTGTGGAAGGCGAGGCTGCAGAGGAGCTGAGGCGCTGCTTCTCACCTGGTGTTATTGAAGTGCAAGAAGTCCATGGTATGGCGTGAGCTGTGCTATCAGGAAGGGACCTAAGGCATGTTTTCTTTGTGAAGGGGGCAGAAATAAAAAGGTCTAGGCTCCTAACAGACAAAATATACTGTGTTATGTTTTCATTAGGAAAGAAAGTAGCCCGAGTTGTTAATCCCAGGCTGGACACCTTCAGCAGGGAGGTCTTCCGGCACGAGAAGCTTAAGAAGGCTGTGCGGCTTGCCCGTGTTCGGGATCATTACATCTGTGAGTAGATGAGAGCAGGGTGTGCCTGGGATGGGTGTTCTCTGGGGCTGCCTGGTAAAATGCTCCTGTGGTCCCCAGTCTCTGTTGAGTCAACAGGAGTGCTGCCACCGGATGTGCTCGTGAGTGAAGCCATCAAAGTGCTGATGAGGAAGTGCCAGCGCTTCCTGGATGAGCTGGAAGCTGTGCAGATGGACTGAGGTTCCTGGGGACCCCAAGGGGCTGGGATTGCTGGACCCATGGGACTCACTAGGGGGTCCCACTCCAGCTTTTTGATTATACATTTTGTTAAATGTGGCACAGAATGAGTCTATGCCTTTGTAAGGCTGTTGATGTAAATAAATTTATGTCCAAAACTTAGAAGACCATTTTCAGTTGAGCCTCTATTCAAAATATTTGGCATTTAGCAGAGAACACTGGGTTTGCTCAGGTGAGGGTCAAGGTTGAGGCAAAGTCCTGCTAACTCTGAGAAAGCCATATGAAGGTGGTCTGGGGGCAGAGCCATACACCTCAAGAAGAGAGTTGCAGCTTCCCCTGCAGACTGTTGGCCAGTGCAGGAGGTACTGAGCCTGGTGGGTCGGTCGGCGACAGGAGTCTCCTAACTGGCATACTGTTTCAGGCTGCTTCACAGCAGGCTTAACAGGCATAGATCCTCCTCACCTTCCATGGCAGGAAGCCATCCATGAGCAGGCAACTAAGACTTTATCTTTCGCTTGGAATTGTTTGAAAAAGGCGGATAGGGCCTTTTCTGTATGAAACAGATTTTTACTGACATGCAGATGTGCTTTAGAGTTAACATTTCTACAAAAAGGTTCTATAAACAATAGAAAATTTCTAGCATGAGGTCACAGGATGTTAAAAATATTACAACACAATAAATACTACACCCTCCACAGCCCCAATCAGATAGAGTAGGCAGCTATCAAGTATGGAGGAAATACTCTTGAGATCGCCTTCACAATCAGCAGAATCCTCAAGCACCACAGGAAGAGGGGGCAGATGTATGCAGCAGGGCTGGCAAACCATTCCCCAACAGTCTCTTCCTACCCATACCATGTCATGCCGGTGCCTCAGTCTGCCAGCAACTGGACATAGACCTGTCTATAGGGGACAGTCACCCCACAGGTCCCCCCTCCATGTCCCCTCTGTTCTGTGCCCTTCCAGTGACCTCTAGGGTGGCCTTGGGTTGTGATGGGAAGGCAAAAATTTCTTTTAGAATTGGCCCTTGAGACAAGTGACCAGGACCTGAAAGGCCATGAGAATTTTAAAGGCACCTGGACTCAGCTGGTCCTATGAGACCAGTCACTCTGCTAGCTGCTTATCACAAATTAAGCCTAGTTGGTCTGGATTATCCTTGGGTGACAATGGTATCATCTGTGGCTGGCTGGCCTGAGTAGACCCTAGGCTGGGGAAATGCATGAGGGTCCTTTATAAAAGGGCAAGATGTGTGAGCCCTAGTGGGTCATTAGTGAGCACTAAACACTCCCCAGCCCCGATCCCTGCAGGTCCTACCCATGCCCAAACTAGCAGTAGCTTGTACCATGGATCCCATCAAGCGAACAAGCTCTTGCTCAAAATGTAGAGGGAACTGGCTGAATTTAGTTGAGCACTTAGCACCTAAGGCAGACAAAGCCACTGGAGGTGGGGAAGGGTCCCTGCCGACCCAGCAGCTAGGGCTCAATGGGATGTGCAGTGGTCAAGGAGAAATTCTGGCACAAGTGCTCAGGGGTTCAGCCCTTCCAAGCCCAGCTGGTTGCAGTGCTGGGCACAGCGCCCTGGCTCCCATTCTGTACAGGTGCGTTGCTACATGGGGGCGGATAGGCTTGGGGAGGACCACTCTGCTCTACCCTTTCTCAGGGAAGTCCAAGCTCCAGGCAGAATGGAACTAATCAGGAGATCACAAAAAATCGATGTGTCTGCCCTGACTCCCTCTCCTGGTGCTTTAGAAGGATGCTGGCCCTCCCTGCGCAGGGCCCACTCTTCTGCTCAGACCCAGCTCTGGCTCCAGCTGACAGTGGTGGACAGTGAGGTGGCAGTGCGAGAGGGGCCTAAAGATTAGCTACGAAAGAGAAGAAGAGATGACGACAAAGGCCGAGGAAGGATGCCCAAAAGCTTGATTCAGGGTTCAAAGATGGTGGCCAGGCTGCCCCCCTCGTTGTCCAGCACCTCTGTCTCCAGCATTGGCTTTGTTTTCTTGAAAAGTGAGGGAAGGTTCTTAATATGCACTTCTTTTCGGAACTGTTCCCCCAAAGGTTTCTGTAGAAAGTAAATAAGAATCAATAGTTGGCCCCCCAGCAGTGGCTCAGACCACCTACAATGGTTGGAGATCACAGCTGTTTGCCACAGTCTTAGGATCACAAGCAGATGGTGGGGCCTGAGGACGATCCAGGGGCAGCACCTACCCCAATGCAGCCTGCGATGAGGCGTTTGAATTGGTCCTTTCGCCGCTTGTCGGCCACTTTCTGTAGGGATGGGTTCAACAGTTTGCAGTCAAACTGGTCCAGAGAGTCCTTCTGTATTTCTGGAATTTGCTCCATCACAGCTCTGATCTCCAGGTACCTGGGGCGCTGAGAAGTAGGGATAAACTCACTTGGTGTGGGTTCTGACCCTGCCATTAGGCCCTCTCCACACCTACAGCAGGCAGCAGTAGTGACCCAGCAGATACCAACACTTGAGATGGGCCAGGACCTTGGAAGCTGAGCCAAGAAGCCACAGGTCCCCCAGGCCCCACTCACCAGTGCCTCATAGATCTGGAAGGCCAGGTGGACCAAAGAGGCCATGCATCCGTCATGCTGCCCATGTGTCTGTAACCCTTTCAGCACGCTGGTGAAGAGCCATGTAACGGCATCAGCAAGCAGTGTCCCTGACAGAACCTGGGGACACAGTTAAGGTGCACAGGGGCTCTCAGAAGGACCCAGCACCCTGATTTTCCAAGCTGATTCAGTCAACGATCATGACCCAAACCTTCTGTTAGGGTCAGGGGAAGGGGATAAGCATACCTGTTTGAGGAGAGGCCAGCAGAGCTGCGTGGTTGTCCTCTGGCAGGACAGAGTGTCCTTCCAGGCCAGTGAATTGAAGGCTGTAATTAACAGTGCTGTGCAGACATCCTGGACAGGAAGGAAGGATTACAACGAAAAATTTGCACTTTACTGTTACACATTTGGAGCTGGACTTATAATAGGTAAGTGGGAAAATAAAGTGACTATCATAGGAGTTTTACTTTCCCTGGCTCCTACCCACCTCATGCTTCATCAGACATTTGCCCAGGTCGGTAAGTTCTGCTACAGCAGATGGGGTAACCTCAGTGGCCATCATCTCTTCATCTGTAGGCAGAGCAGAATGTCAAGCCCACTGGACGAAGGAGGCACATTCCAGGGTGGGCCTGTCTCAGGCAGGGACACACACCTGGCCCCAGGCATGACAGCAGAAGCCCAGGTCTGGGGCAGAGCTCCTGGAGATTATGGCACGGGCACTTGGGAAATGGGAGGCTGGGCAGCAAGGTAAGCTGCAAACACTGAGAGCCCATCAATGCTGAACAGATATATATATATATATATATATCTCTGAGATATAGAAGGAAAAGGACACAGCCCCTGCTCAGATGGGAGACTGCAATCTACTAAGAGAAAGAGGCAATGAATGAATACATAAACAAGATCATAAAGGCACTTAGTAAGAAATACCATGAAATGAGACCAGAAGTCTATAGAATGGGTGATTATCTCTGGCCAGTTATCATCGAAGACCTAGAAGAGGCAACATGGAGCAGAGAACTGAATGAAGTAAGAGAACTGGCCCTGCAGATAGCTTGAAGCAAATTAGTTTAGATATAGGTAGAAGCAGGTGCAAAGGCTCTGCAGCAGCAGGACGCTGAAGTACAGCAAGAAAGCTGGCACAATAGCTAGAGGTCTCCTCTCGGCCTTGCCAGTCAGCTACATAAGGTCCCTGCAGGAGCAGTGCTCACCCAGAAGAGCCAATCTCCAGACCAGGTGAGGGGCTCGCTCACCTTCTCCATCTGCAGGCGGAGCAGCACTGTGTTCTGCGCTCTTCTTCGCCACACAGCAAACCGCTATGGCGTAACAAAACAAAAGTTACTGGGTTAAGAGGGAATTTAGTATCACCACTGCGCAGTGCCACCTCAGGAGATGATTCCACATGGTCTCTAGCCAGGGAGGGGTGGGGAACTGTTGGGTACAAAGCCCGGCCAGACTGTGCTCCCTCCCTCATGTTCAGTTAGCTGAAAGTGACAGGTAACCGACGGGCTCTTGCCTACTCTGCATCACCAAGTGCTATGTCAGTCAACATTTCCAAAAACAGAAAATAAAATAACCTCCATAAAATTGTCCCTATTTTAACAAAAAATAAAAAAATTATCTCTAACATTATATGAGTTCCTATGAGATGACAGCCTCATATTCTGCTGTGAGTACCGTCCACTTCACGATCCAAAAAATGTCCTTAGGTTGACTGAAGGATTAGCTAGCTGCCACTTCTTCCCCTGTTTTAGTACGAGGGCTTGAGCCACACGCTAGCCATCAGGTCAGTACTGGTCACCCTGTTAGCAGACGAGCCCATTTCCAGCTGAAGCTCTTGGATACCACTTACTGATGAGGTCCATGACTTCTCGGGTCAACAGCCTCACCAGCTGCTCCTCCAGCATCTCCTGAGACTCAGGGTTTTCCTCCACAGCTTCCTCTTCTCCACCACTGAAAACCAGGGAGCCAGATTCCATGAGGGTATGGAGAGAGAACAGAGAAAGCAGCACCCCCCTCCAGCCCTGTGGTACCCTTTCTCCTATGAGATGACAGAGCATTTGATTCTGTGTTCCACGCAGATTCAGGAAACAAGCGGACAGCAAGGGCCAACCAAGGGTCTTTCTAACTGTGACTCTGGCTGGAATGTGACAGAAGCCCCCATGGAGGAGGGACTCAGAACCAGCCTGTCCAACGTCAACCACCGCCTTGACTGAGAATCATTTCAGCTCCCCTGGACTAGCAGAATCTCTCCTTGCCCCTTATCCTTTCCCCACCCAGACCTGAGGGTGGGCTTCCTTACCACAGCAGGCTCCTCTGATTAATCACTTGCCACTTCTGGGACAGCCTCTGGGAAAACACAAGGGAAGTATGTGCTAGGACCAGAGCACACACTGTCTAAGGTTTGCTTTATCACAAAAATTATCCAATAATGATCCAGGTATCAATGACAGAGATTCCTAGTAGACCCTGACAGAGTTTAAAAATGAACAAGGAGCCAGGTGTGGTCATGCACACCTGCAATCTCAGCTCCACATGAGGCTGAGGCAGGAGGATCACAAGTTTGAGGCCAGGGTAGGCAACTTAGTGAAAGCTTGACTCAAA